CTAATAATTAATCTCATCTGAATTAATTTGCTAACGAACAAGATTATGAAGCATAAACAAGATTATTGAGTATAAGCAAGATTATTTAGCATAATCAAGATTATTGAGCACAACAAGATTACGAAGCATAAACAAGATTATTGAGCATAATCAAGCTTATTGAGAGTAAACAAGATTATTGAGTACAAACAAGCTTACGAAGCGTAAACAAGATTATTGAACGTAAACAAGATTATTGAGCATAATTAAAATTATTGAGAGTAAATAAGATTCTTGAGCATAACCAAGATTATGGAGCATAAACAAGATTATTAAGCGTAAACAATATTATTGAGCATCAGTTAGATAATGAATCATAAACTAGATTATTAAACATTGGCATCTTCTGCCATTCTTATATTAATTTTAGCATATCAAACTCTGCGCTATAAGTTACTTGGTTCTAATATGCTAAACTTGCTTCTTAACTCCGTCGCGGCGCGGGAAAAATGAGCTCCGGGACCCGATAATCCCTTCATAGCCAACCTGATCTTTATCATATGAAGAACATTCTTCTTTAGAGCTATCACTTTCATTTTTAACTTGATATGTGAGGTGAAAAACAATCTTCTTTAAAGCTATTACTTTCATTATAAATTAATATTTATTTTGAGTTAAATAACACTCGTTTGAACCCGTATCTGGACTACAGTTTAAATATTAAAAAACTTTTTTAATGTTAATTTTGAGTTAAAGGTAAAATTTTGAAGTTCATTTTTAGTGGTATTGCAAAGCTCCTCTTGTTGATGATAAATGAAAAATTATCCTAATATCCTGCCCTTGAAGGTATTGTATATTGTATACAATAATGCACAATATTGTATACCGTTGCATATTGTATAAAATATTAATCTTTGATATTTTTCCCGTCGCTGAATTTTCTCACTATTTGAATTAAAATCTTCGCTGAATTTTCCAAGTATTTAAAAAAGAATCTTAATTTTTCTTAAGCCTTACGGAGGACTTATCTGCCTCTATGTTTTCCCATATGCACTCAGAAAAATGAATGCATCAAATTGTCAAAATAGGGACACAATTTCTCGGTCACAGCACGAGCTGAGAGCGGCACTGATACAGTATGTCCATATGTGCACTCGTCCGTTGTCACAATGACCCACACAAGAGCAAAAGTGCATCGCGATTGCGATGAGAAAAAATCTCAAATTCTCTCTTATAGAGAAAATTCTCACTTATTTCTCGATCTGAGCGTACCTCCTGTGAAGAGGGGAGGTCGTAGTGCTCAATTTAATCTCATTACCGGGGCCAGTTTTTCTCGAGCAAAATCGAACCATAAATGCAATGTAAACAACTCCCGGAACAACCTAATAAAGTTGAATCATGATGAGGACGAACATCGAAAGGCAGAGTAAACACGTTCTCAGACGCTAATAAAGTGGAAATTTCGACCTTTAATGGCGCATGAGAGCTTGTTAAGGGAATATTTTAACCCGATTTTTAAATTATCATGCAGGGTATCTGCATCAAGAAAATATTAGATTGGCGTCCAAAGCCCCAATTTAAATTGATTCGAGATTTTTTTCATGCGAAATTATTGTAAAAGAAAGGGTTAAATATTGATTCTTTCTGATCTTTTGTTATTTTTTGGAAAATTACTAAGCTACGGAAAAATTATCCGCGCTCGACAGCCATTCAAGGCCCTATTCAATCCGACCATCAATAGTTTAAAAGTTTTCAAAAATATTTTTCCGCAAATATTTGAAACTTTATTTTCATTTTTAATACTCTTTCAGAATACGACTTTATGTATATAGTTTATACTACGAAACATAATTGCGCTATCTATGTACATTAAGCCATTGCTTAATGCTTAAACTCAATCTTAATTGGCCGTGAATAACTCACCACTCAGATATATTAATAAAATTTAGTCCAAATAGTGATGCACTTTTTGCTCATGCGTGGGTCATCCTGACACAGTATAGCCCGGAAAAAGACCGTGATGGCGCTACGTCATTTCTCTGGTCAGGCTGCGTGTGAGGAAGTGTGCCAATATTCGGGCAATATGACTCATTGATTTTTTTGAGTGGTGCATGGACCCCACAAAGCCTATATAAATAAATAGAGGTTTGTGAATGGCTTCTTCAACCGTCAGTAATTGGCCCTTGAATAGCTAAATATAATATCGATAAGTTCATAGGAAAAACGAAAACATATATTATTTTATAAATGCGTTCTCTAGTCACCAATCGAACTTGATTCTGTTAATCTCTGGGCACCAATAAAAATTGTACTATAGAAAACGTTCTGCCATCTTACACTAACAATTTATTCTTAAAATCCAACAAATTACAACATATTTCATAACTATTACATGGCATAGCAGCCCGCAAAGCCCCAGTCTGGCATCCCGCCAAACTCGATGAACTGAAGCTTGTTTGCTGCATCGCGATTGCCTCGTGTTGTGCTTCAGCTGAGCGATTGCTGGCAATCACTGTCGTGGTTCAAACGAGCGATTGCTGGCAATCATTCAGTTGAAGATCATATAGCTGGCTGTCCTTGCTGTGCTTCAGCTAAGCGATTGTTGCTCATCATTGCCGTGCTTTAATTGAGCGATTGCTTGCAATCACTCAGTTGAAGGTATTTGCTGGCCAATCACCATTGTGTTTCAACTGAGCGATTAACACAACCACTGTAATGCTTCAATTGAGCGATTGCTCAAAAAAATGTCATGCTGAATGATTGCTGACAAAAAGTGATTGCTGACAAGCACTCTCATGTTTCAACTGATCGATTACTGACAATCACCGTCGTGTTTCCCAAGAGTGATTGCTGGCTCTCGTATCCGTAATACCTACGTGCAGTGGTCACACCGTGCCGTGGTATTATATATATTATCATTTTTTTTCGTGGTGAAATAGCGGCGCATGAAAAAAGCTGGTTTCTATAAACAAATATAAAATTTATTTTAAATGTGCTACGAGCACGCTTTGAAGCAAACACCAAATTATAATTAACTTGAAACTTCAACACGGGATTTATAAAGAGATTTTTGTCAAAGGACGGTTTGAGTAGGTTTTAATTACATGCATATTATTTCAAATCGTATGCCTTTATATTCGCATTGAAAATATTATGACGATATCACAAAAGATTCAATTATGGGAATCGGATTTGGTAACAGGATTATTGGATTTCAGGTATTATGAATCCCGATTAAAGCCGAGTATAAGCGTTTATTGTTTATTTGGAACTAGTTATTTATATTAGTTAACCGATAGCCCATAAAATAAAAACGATAACAAATTATGGCAAATTTTTTTCTTCACGTATCGTCTCCATCCCCATGAAAAATCATAAACAATAAATGCAAAACATTATTGTACTGTAGCTGCCTATGAAAAGACAATACACGCCTATTTATACGCCATTACAATAAGCAATAAAAAATTTCCAATAAGTCTTGGCGTAATAAAGCCTTAGAAAATGATGAGTCAGCACCATGAGAGAGATCTGCACTCAGAAGTATAAATGGGACTTTGTCAAGATAGTGATGCTTTTATGCATTAATGTGGGGGTCAAGTTTGTCCTAGATTGGATGGATCAGTGCCAGTGTGTCACTATTCGGGCAATATAACTCACCCATTTTTCTGAGTGTGCGCCTTGGTTGTCCATAAAACTTTCCGACTGTCCGTTCTGCGGCTGGGAGGTTATTGCAGAAGATATATTGTTATATTATATTCTTTTATTATATTGTTATATATGTTATATTGCTTTGTATATAGGGGACAGTGTGGCAGTGCGTGATGGGAATAATGTGACTTGTTCTTTATTAGAAAGATATGAGTAGTGGCTAGATAGTTGTTATTATGTTTCAAATACCTTGGTGACTTATTCTTTAGAAATATATTGGACGGAATTTACTTTGTAATAATATTTTAAATGCAAATACACAAATAAATGATATACACACTCAAAGGAACTTTTATTTAAGCAAACAGAACGATGTAAATGCAATCTAACGATTGCTGGTATTTTATTATAGAAGCGATTATAACGTTTTATGTTTATTGCACTCCAAATTGCAGCTGAATTTTTACTTAAGTCTAATAAATTTACCATAAGTTTAATCAACTTATTTTAACTGACCATAATAAGTTCCTTAATATATTTAACTTAAATTTAATTAACCTATATTAACTTGCGATAATTACTTTACGTAACAAATTAACAAATTAAATTAACCTCCCGGCTCTATGACTCTCGATGAAGAAGTGTTTGAAAAATTTTCTGTGCCCCGAGCTTAGATATAAGGAAATAAAAATCCAAGCTGCCTAAGCGTAAGCCTTTTATCGTTCAATTAATGCCTGAGAAGCCTGAGTATTTAATACAGGAACTTTGTATCGATTTTTACTGTAAGTAAAATATGATTATTGTTTATGATATTTATTCCGAGGGCATCGAAGCTATTTTGAAAAACTAGGGGTGTAATGTTTTTATTATTTTTACGGCTTAATAATCAAAGGTTAAATGTTGATATAAAATTTTTACTCGTCGGCACTCAGGAAAATTAATGGGTCAGACTACTCGAATATTTACGCACTTTCGAACGCAGCAATGTCACGGCATTTTGCTGGCCCAAAGTGGGTCAGGATGGCCACAAAATGGGAAAAAGAGTATAATATTTAGGAGATACTCTCATTCATTTCTTTGAGTATAAGCCCCCGAATCATGGCCCAATCTTTTCAAGCCTACCACGAATGCAAATTACCCTAAAATAAACACAAAAATTAATCAACCAAATTCCAGCTAGGGCACTGATTTTCAGGGTTATTTTTCCGGAATGAAAATCAGGCGCATCAATTACTAGCGAGATGCATGAGCTAGCCTCATGCACCATGTCCAAAATGTGCTTCCCCGCTTGTGCCTAATAAAAAATATTAAATCCTTCGAAAAATTACTCCCCTGCTGAATACTAATGAATTGTGATTTTCTCCCCTCAGGGGGGTTATCAAGGGAGCAGCCACCCCCCCGCCCCGACCAGATCTGGGACAACCCATTGATGCGACCAGCGTTTGGGGACACACCTAATGTGTCATCTACACCTGTGGGACGTGTGGCCCATATGCACTGTAAAGTGTACCACCTCGGCAGTAGAGTGGTGAGTGTGATGCTGAGTGGTGAGTGTGATGCTGAGTGGTGAGTGTGATGTTGAGTGGTGAGTGTGATGTTGAGTGGTGAGTGTGATGTTGAGTGGTGAGTGTGATGCTGAGTGGTGAGTGTGATGCTGAGTGGTGAGTGTGATGCTGAGTGGTGAGTGTGATGCTGAGTGGTGAGTGTGATGTTGAGTGGTGAGTGTGTTGTTGAGTGGTGAGTGTGATGCTGAGTGGTGAGTGTGATGTTGAGTGATGAGTGTAATTCTGAGCGGTATTCATATGAATATGAAGTAATTTCATAGTGCATATAACAGGTATTCGATGATAATTGTTTCGCCTGGATTATTGGTGATTATAGGATTACAGTTATTTAGATTATTAACGTCTGACTTTCATCAGATGTTAGTTATATATAATATTCTAGCATAATATTCCCATGAATGCCATTATCAATCATGTAATCACTATCAATAAAATGACTGAAAATGATTCAATATAATTAGTTATGCCCACACAATAAATATATTCAGTATCGTAAGAACCTTTTATCTCAAAACTAAATCCGCTTATCGATATCGGCGAAGGAATCTTAGGGAGCCGACGTAAATGAGCACTTAGAAAAATTAGCAAGAGTTTGTCCAAATAGCGATGCACTTTTAGCCTCATGTGGGACATCCTGACCCAACAAATCTGAATCCGGCAAAATAGCGTATCAGTGATACGTGCAGGAAGTGTCTCTCTATATGGATAACATGACCTCTACATTTCTCTGAGTGAGGTTACTGAAATGCAATTGTAATTTTATTCTTTAATGACGAGTTGCAAAAAAACAAATTTTTTTAACTTTTCTTCGATTTAAATTTAGTTCTTAAGAATTTAGAACGAAGGCCTGCCAGAGTCGAAGGATCGAAGCTTCTCATGGTCATCAGTCTTCTCCTCATGACAGCCCCTACAATTCATCTAAAATTCATATCATTTCTTATTTTTATGATGCGCGTGGTTCAGACATTCAGGCCATTCGGTGGTGATGATAACGATGTCAGAGGCAAGGAATGATATAATGATGATTTAGAGGCAAGATATGATATATATATAGAGGCAAGAAATGATATTATAATATCGATGCAAGAAGAGAGTTACTAAAATAGAAGCAAGAAATCATAAGAAGTGCTATAAAACACGGCTACAGACTGCCCTGTTATTGAGCCCAAAACATTCTTTGCAGCGTTACTATAAGACTTTTATCTCCTGCGTAAATGTTTGTTGTTGAGAAGGAAGACTTAACAGAGCAGGACATGATGTGATGTTATCATTTATTTAATTTAATTTCACAGAGAAAATGATCGATTTGAGTGGGATTCTAAAGAATTTAAATTAAAGAATTTTTCACTTGAAAGTTTTTCTATCGCAGTTCTTTTAACTTGAAAATCGCTTATTCTATCAAGATACAATATTTCACATAGTGCATCAAAAAATGGGATGTACAAAATTTAAACGGGAAAATTTTAAATTCAGTTATTTCTTTTAGAAATTGCAAATGCATGAATCACTCATGAAGAAACTTCATGGTCTGTGCTTGTCCTATTCATGGACGAAGTTTCTTTTTAGGAAAAATTCAGATCCTTATACCACAATTGTATCGAATTAAATCGTTCCAAAACTTTACTTAAACAAGTAATATGAATTCAAGTGTCTGATCAATTTTATTAGTTCACCATGAATTAAAAAAAAACAACGAAAATTCAAAGTAAAATTTGTACAATTTTTCAAACTGATGGTGGAGAGTGCTTATTTCACTATTTATTGCTGGTTAAGTACTTATTTCACTATTTATTGCTAGTTAAGTACTTATTTTACTAATTATTACTATTTACGTACTTATTCCACTGGTTATTTCTAGTTAAGTACTTATTTTACTTGCTATAATAAAGCAGCATGTGCCTTCTCTCAGGCTGATCACACATGTCGTTTCCCAGTTTTGCTTTATTTTACATGTCACGTGCGAATTCGTGAGTCATGATTTACACCAAAAGATTTTTCAAAGCGAAAATAATAAAACGTTTGAACACAGTTACATTATTGCTTATACAATAACATTCAACTGATTTACATAAACATTCAACTATCTTCAGCACATTGTAGTCCCATATTTTCATTCATCATTTGTTCATACTTGTTTCATACCAGAATTTGAAACAAGAACCAACACCAAGGGCCACAGCTATAAACTAAAAAAACTGCGGTTCAACTTATCCACGCGACAACATTTCTTCTCGCTTCGAGTCAATACTATACTATACTATACTATACTATACTATACTATACTATACTATACTATACTATACTATACTATACTATACTATACTATACTATACTATACTATTTGCCCAGGTGATGTGGATTAGGAATTGGGAGTCGCACGTGTTGACGAAGCAGCACGCAACACATTTATTTCAAATTATTTGATATAATAACAAAATTATTTTTTAAACATTTCTACATGAACATTAAACTATCTTGGTTTAATTGAACTCACACATTTCCACTCACAATTTTTCCGGGTGACGTGATAAGGAAGTGTGATGTACAGTGTACACGTCCTGACGAGTCATCGTCTGACATTTTTTCCAAACATTTACCAAAACATCTAACTATCTTAATTATACTTTGCTCACATATTTGTATTCACATTTCACATATTTTTAATCACCATTTCCCAGATGACATGGATCAGAAAAAGGGACGCTCGAGTCCTGACGAGACAACGAGCGACATTTCTTACCGAACATTTACCAAATCATCTAACTATCTTAATTACACTTTCCTCACATATTTTTTTCACCATTCACATATTTGTACTCACAATTGACATATTTTACTCACAATTTCCCAGGTGACATGGATCAGAAAAAGGGACTCTCACGTACTGACGGCAGGATTGTTTTCGTACACGAGCGACCAACGCTTCACGGCGCTGCACGCCGAGGGCTCGTCGGACTGGCTCCTGAAGATCACTTCGCCCCAGACGCGCGATTCCGGCATCTACGAATGCCAAGTGTCAACCGAACCGAAAATATCTAGAGCCTTTACTTTGAGGGTCATTGGTGAGTTATAACGTGGTCAGATGCAAGTTTTTTTTTGCAAGAATTTTTGCGTCGGATACCAAAATTTTTGTTGTCGGATCGAAGAATAAAAATTTATTGCTCATGAGAATGCGTTGTGTCGAGTTAACGTATTTCAATCAACTTAACCAATAACATCTGAAACCTTAACTTTGAGGGTCATTAGTGAGTTTTTGTATTCGAGACCAAAAAAAGACAGAAAACAATTGTTTAATATTTAATAATGATGCGGATAGTTTGTACGCGTTGCTATTAATCTATATTCATCATGCGTCTTATAATATTAGTTTTTTTATGTTTACATAGAAAATTTTAATTTGATATGTTTCCTTTTCATTGAATATAGAATCGAAAGCAGTGATAGACGGGCCTGTGAGCCGCCACATGAGCGCAGGCACCACGCTCAGCCTGCAGTGCTGGGCCAGCGGTGCGGGGCAACAACCAACATACTTCTACTGGTCAGACTTATTTAAAACTAACTTAAATAAAGAATAAACTCTTTAAATTATACAGTGAATTTATGAGCAACCAATATACTTCTACTGGTCAGTGTTATTTGAAACTAACTTTAATTTAAAATAAATTATTTAAATTATACAGTGGATTTATGAGCAACCAATATACTTCTACTGGTCAGTGTTATTTGAAACTAACTTTAATTTAAAATAAATTATTTTAAGTATACAATGGATTTATGAGCAACCACTATACTTCTACTGGTCAGTCGTATTTAAAACTGGCTCAAATTAAGAATAAATTCTTTAAATTATACAGTGGATTTATGAGCAACCAATATAGTTCTACCTATAATTATTATATCATGCATATGGAATGATATAAAAATGTAAAAATTATTATTAAAGCTCATTTTGACTGTTATTGAGGGTATTAAATGTCGCACCCGCTATCACCGGTATTGAGTATTAGATTAGACATTATATTCATCACGTAATTTTTCTAATACAAATGATAACAGATTGTGTATACCACGCATCTAGTTTGCTGATAAATGTTTGAGACTGTATTATTGCATAATATAGTCTCAGACAAAGAATTAATTTTGTATTCACCATCTACTTTTCACACAATATAAGGTTTAAATTTTATTCACCAAGCACCTGTTGTATAATATAGAGTTCAAGATCGTATTTTCTGTGCACCTGTTGCATAATGTCGAGTATTTTCTGCATATCTGTTGTACTATACAGAGTTCAAGATCGTATTTTCTAGGCAACTGTTGTACATTATAGAGTTCAAGATCGTATTTTCTAGGCAACTGTTGTACATTATAGAGTTCAAGATCGTATTTTCTAGGCAACTGTTGTATATTATAGAGTTCAAGATCGTATTTTCTAGGCAACTGTTGTACATTTAGAGTTCTAGATCGTATTTTCTAGGCAACTGATGTTCATTATAGAGTTCAAGATCGTATTTTCTATGCACCTGTTGTACAATATAGGGTTCAAGATCTTATTTTCTGTAAACCCGTTGAACAATATAGAGTTTTGAATCGTAGTTTCCCCACACCTGTTGTCCAATGTAGGATTCAAGATCGCAGTTTACACGCACCTGTTGTACAATATAGAGCTTCAGATCGCATTTCCCACGTTCTTGTTCTGCGTTAAAGGATCAGATATTCGGCTGCGTTTATAGTTCAATTGATGGAAAGCTCTCAGGGCCCCGACGATGTGTCAAGCCATTGGCAGCCTCTGTCCAGCTAGCCCTCTGGAGATTCATTTATTTTAAAGCTCAGAGTGTCAATGTCAGCTGCATTTTCCCACTGGCGATGTGTTTTTTCTTTAACAGTATTCCATGAAGATTTGAGTCTGACGTACTTTCCAAAAATTGTGTGGTCGATGTTGTCTCAAAAAAGCCAGCGAAATTTATTGGAAAAAAATAGGGAGTGGCAGAATCTAGTGGCCGCAGGTGTTTCCTTGACAGGGGGTTTTGCAAGCTGGATTAAAGAAGATAAATCCGGTTCTTTATGATTTATAAATATATTTCTAATTTAATATTGATTCAGCTAATGTTTGCTGGTAAAGTAAAAATTTCAGTTATTACGGAAAATGTTTCTGCATTTTACAGAAAATTTTCAAGTAACTAGTCATGTTCCATTTATGTATAATGGTGCCATAATAATTACCCGCACACTCAGAGAAATGAGTCGTTCTCGTCCAAATAGAGATGAATTTTTTACCGTTGCGTGAGTCATTCCGACACCGTTTGGTCCATAAAAAAGCGCATTGGTTCGGTGATGTGCACAGAAAGTTGGTCACTATTTGAACATTATGACCCATTCAATTCTGTGAGTGCGATTTCACTTTGTATTATGGCATAATAATTAATTGGCGGTTTAATTAACCCTGTAGTGTGGTCTCAATAATAGGCGGTTTAACCCTGAAGTGTGGGGGTTCAATAATTAGTGGTTTAACCCTGTAGTGTGGGCTCAATAATTAGCGGTTTAACCCTGAAGTGTGGGGGTTCAATAATTAGCGGTTTAACCCTGTAGTGTGGAGCCTCAATAATTAGCGGCTTAACCCTGAAGTGTGGGGGCTCAATAATTAGCGGTTTAACCCTGTGGTGTGGGCTCAATAATTAGCGGTTTAACCCTGTAGTGTGGTCTCAGTAATTAGCGGTTTAACCCTGCAGTGTGGGGGCTCAATAAGTAGCGGTTTAACCCTGTAGTGTGGTCTCAATAATTAGCGGTTTAACCCTGTAGTGTGGTCTCAGTAATTAGCGGTTTAACCCTGTAGTGTGGTCTCAGTAATTAGCGGTTTAACCCTGCAGTGTGGGGGCTCAATAATTAGCGGTTTAACCCTGCAGTGTGGGGGCTCAATAATTAGCGGTTTAACCCTGTAGTGTGGTCTCAATAATTAGCGGTATAACTCTGTTGTATGTGGCTCAATACTTAGCAGTATAACCCTGTAGTATGGTACCACAATAACCTCTCTTAACACAGGTACCACAACGATGAGGTGATCAGGTACTCAAGTGGAACAGATCTTCGATACCGACGACCAGGCAATGGCAACGCAGTCAGTGATGCAACTCGTGATGTCGCAACGCGTACGTATTTTTAATTGACTATATAAACCCAATTATGAAATATTGTCTTCACTGTATGGTTTCTTATAGATCATACACTAAAAAACTTAGTATTTCATTTCTACAAGGCCTGCAATACGTGGTTTACTGTCACTTTTTATACATCACACCAAGAAAATCTAAATATATCAAATCGGCGAAGTCAGCTATATATGTTTAAAGTAGAATTTCACATATTATAAGTATAAGTATAATAAATTCTTAAGCTTTCACAATAGGTTTTAATGTGTTATTGCGGTGACGTTTGCTACATAGTGTTAATTTAGTGTCTCGCGTATCGTATAAGAAGAAGTATTCATATATCATCTCGACGAGGTCAGAGCTATTAATTTAATGCGGATGCTTTCTTTTATTCCGACAGGCTGGAACAACAACTATGACGATGGCAGCGTAGATGAGCCTCACGACGAGGTGTATCATCTGGATGAACCCCGAGACGAATCGTACCGCGAGATCAGAGATGAATCATACGTTCTGAACGAGTCCCAGGATGAATCATACCGCCTGGAAGAGTCCCGGGACGAATCGTACCGTCTGGACGAGTCCCAGGTCGAATCGTACCGGGAACCTGGGGACGAATCGCACCGTCTGGACGAGAGTGGCGTGCTAAGTGTTGCAATTTTGGAGGTGAAGCATCTGGGCAGCGGACATTCCGGCAACTACACCTGCGCTCCGGAGAACTCAGTGCCATCTACTGTCACTGTCTACGTACTCAGAGGTGAGGAGGAATTATCCTTTATACATTTTATATTGGTTTTTAACGGCTAAATAAGTACTTTAAAAACAAAATTTAGATGCTTGTTCGACCGTGCAATAGGTGCCGCCTAGGACTCGGGGAGCACGTAAATCAGCCGCTCATGTCCGCTTTGACTCAGGGTTTAAAGGGCAACAACCTCTGGGCAGCTTGCAAGCTCGGAATAACTCGGCTCGGCCAACCAATTCAATGTTCTCAGGTGACTATAAAATCGAAAAGGAGATTTTGATCAGAAGCTGATTTCGATCGGGTGGCCTAGCAGACCCATAATAACTTGAAGCTGAGTTAATGGCGCCCGATAGGTACAAGACTAGGCGGTCCCCGAATTTCATTAGGGTAAGATGAAGTAGCTGGAGCGTAACGCCGAAACGCAGCGAGATTGCAAACCGCAAATCAAGCCTGCTCGATCCAGCAAAGTTCTTTAAGATCCTGTGATAAAATCGAGCAAAGTTCATCGAGGCTGTGTGATAAAATCCATTCAATCTGCACCTGAGAACCTGAATGCGCTTTGTCCTGGGATGGGAGCACCGAATTTCACTTTATTCAGAGGGCGACTCGCTTTTGTTCGTCACTCCACGACCGGTCTTCATTAATTTTCTCGGGAGCCAGGGACAAAAAGATTCGATTTCAGCAGATTTAACACGCCTTCGTGCTTAAAAATCTCGCCCTGCGCTCTGGCGAACAAAAACTATACAAATCGAGAGTTTTACAATGGGTATCGCGATTTTTATGTAATTTTTTACTTCCTGTTTAAACTTAAGGATAAGTATTTCGTTTCTGCAGTAATGTTAAAAAAATTTTCCTGTAAAATTTTTTATAGGTAGAATTTATCGCCGATAAATTGCTAAAATATTGCTTAAACAATAAGAAATTATTTAGTTGACTGTATTTAATGATTGAGGTTAAGAGAGCTCTGTTGCCGCCTGCACGTGTCAATTTTAGATTCTGATTCATTTCTTGGAATATTAAAGCATATGCTTATTAACACATTGAGTGCGATTTCATACCACCGGTATGAAATACGCCCTGAAAACGACATAGCCGCACTTAATGTGTTAAAATATCCCGATCCTCTAAACTTGGTATCAGAAACCCCCGCAATAAATATTGAAAATCGTCACGATAGAAATTAAAAATTTCCAGAAAGACTACCAGAGCAACAATGGAGACTTTCAACGTGGTAGAATAAATTTTTTTGAGTCCAACTTCCTATTTTATTTCCTACAAATTTATTAGTGACTCTGGGTTATGGTGTAGAGAACAGCAGGCGTCGCAGAATTTCAACATGAATATCCGTCCAATTCTACTGGAAGGATTGAATATCAAATTAAGAAAAGAAAGCAGCTACTTTTGCAGATTATTGTAATATATCTCATCCACATTTCTTTTTTATTGCATTGGAAATAATCTTCTATATTTGAATTTTTTTATTGCTATAAGGCTCTTCAGTCTGTAATATTAGTCTGTAATTGACAAACATTTACATACGCCCGACTTTTATTTATATAAATATGTAATACACTTATCTAAATATGTTATATAAAAAGTAACTGCATGACGAACATGAGTGATTTCCCTAACTTTGCACTTATTATTTTAATCAAATAATAAACAGACACTAAATTTCCATCACGTGATTTTCTTAAGATTATTCATAAAAATGAAGAATCATTACGTATTCACTTCTCAGGTAAATTAAGTAGAGCTGACTATGCTATTGCAAATTTTAATTAAGCAGAGCATAGAAAAATGCATCGAAAAAAACATAAACACATAAAAAATTGCACGAAAATTAAATAATAGCAGTATGTTTTTTACATTTTTTTACATGCACTTGCTTTTAAAGTACTGAAATGTTTTCGATTTTTCCTGCTGACAGCCGGGGAGCAGCCGGCAGCAATGCAGCACGGCGGCGCTAGGAAAGCTGCTTCGCACGCTGGCCTGGTGCTGCTGGTGCTGCAGACTGGTGCTGTGCAGCTGCTGCTGCTGCTGCTGCTGTGCAGATGATATGCTGACTGCAACAAGACGTCTCTGAGTGCTGCAAGGCAACAGTGAAGAACGTAAAGTTAAATAGTGAGGCGTGAAGATAACGTTGAGACGCAATCAAAAAATGATGGTCGCCACCATCATCGTCCGACAACATGCGGAACACTTTTGAATCAACATGCTGAAAATTTTCTTATACTAAGAATTTGTTTAAATTGAAAATTTTCTATGTTAAATATTTTCTTATATTGAAAAATTTCTAACACGGAAAATTTTTTTGCGTTGAAAATTTTCTTTTGTTGAAAATTTTTTTCTCTAAAAGTTTTTTTATTGAAAAATGTTTTATACTAAAAATTTTCTTATACTGAATATTTTTTCTTTGGAAAATTTTTTGCATTGGACAATTGGAACTGCAAACCATAAGCTGATGATTCTGTTACTGAACGGCAATCATTTCAATATTATGATTAATTGTAGGTCGGTGTTTGATCGCAGACGGACAATTTTAGACATGAAACTATCGAGAAGGCCACCGCCATGGCCCTTCAACCTACTCAACACTTTTCTTCGGGTGAAAATATTTAGCAAATCGTCAGCAAATGATTTTAAGTTACCCGACGAACCCTCAATTATGTTTAATTTATATACTAATGAGCAATAAATAAATTATTGCAGGTTGCAGTTGGATCATGGAGTAAAAATTTCACAAAATAAAAATTCGACGAAAAAATGAATGATTGGCAGTCTTTCATCGATCAATGGACACCACATTCCAATCACTAATAATCGAATTACATTATAATTAAAATAAATTTTAACACTTAACCATTACGTGGCCATTATTTAAGTTTTATATATCAATAAAGCGGAGAAACCACTTGCTCTGTGTATGTAAAATTGTACATTGTACAGCTAAGCTCATTTGTGTGCTGTGTGTGCTACTATTTAAGCAACAATCTTGATGTTTGTCTATATAAATATATTAACATTAGGAGTTTCTTGTACATTCATTTTACCATGAAAATAGTATAAGAAAAACTGTTAATGAAAACCTCGCCGTACGAACAAAGAGGGGGAACACGGATCGAAATGTTCAGAAATTACGCATTGTAGTATTTATTACTGTGTATGCAGGAAATAGCAAGGTAAAAATTTAAAGTATATAATTAAGTAAGCTAAATAGTTTGACATTTTTATCCTATTTTTTGCCAAATTATAGTGATGTTAAAGAACGCATTTTATTCCGAAGAAGCGCATCAAGATGTATTATTTAATTCATTATTAATCATTTACCAAATGCAAGCAGAATTTCCAAACGTGTCCAACTGAGACAGAAAAGCTCCTATCGGCATTAACGTTAATATAGTTGCATGATACAGCGATTAAGAAAACCCTGCCCAGAACAGAGTTGTGATTTGGGTTGCAAAAACACACCTAAATTTGTGATGAGGAGAAACTGTCCCAACGTCGAATAATATAACTAGTAAAATAAGTCATCAGCCAGGGAAATGAGTGAGACTTTGTCTAAATAGCGATATACGTTTTGTCCACGTGAGGGTCATCTTGATCGAGGTTGACCTGGCATTTATGCGTGTTAGTGTTGCTGGTATGAACGTGAGTCACTATTTGGACAATATCACTTATTCCGTTTCCTGAGTCTACTGGCAAAAAATCGTGTTATCATAATAAGTTCAAGCAGCCTTCCTACATTTTTAAATATGATAAACTATGTGGCATTAAAATGTGTAATTATTAAAAAAGGCTGCGTTCTGGATAACTTTTGAATTGCTTAACATATTTTCCGAACAAAATGTCGGACGAGCGGCATCAGTCACGGCTGTCTGAAGGTCGTTAGGTGCGGGGCTGGAAAACATGTTGACTTAAACATATATTTTTGCTCTGGAACATGTTCACAAATTTAGTTGGTGAATATGAAATTATCATCTGTTGTAATATTCCTCAAGTATATAATTTCGCTTACTAACATATTTTTAATATTTGTTATTAAATATGAAACTATTATCTGTTGTGGTGATATGATATACAAATATATAGTTTCACTATAGACATGTTTTCAAATTTATATATATTATTGAATATTAAACTATCGACTGTTGTAATTATACTCAAAGAAATATTTTCACTCACGAATATGTTCAGGAATTTAGTTATTAAATATGAAACTATCATCTTTTGTAATGATTCTTTATCGAGAGTGAAATGGAGTCTTGTAACAATATTGTAAATTATCTTGCGCATGAATGTACAAATACAATGGATTTTGTATGGTGAATTTTGTTTTAATGTTTAGTTTCCAAAATTGTAAACAAATGTTAAAATTGATTTTCTTCAACGGCAAAAAAAGTTCATATTCGCTTTCCCTAACGGAAAACTATTTTTAATATTCACTATCACCAACATTGAAATATTTGTGATATTGATTTTGTCCAACGATAAAAATATACTTTTTCATTTTCCTAACAATACAAAAAATATTGATATTTATTTTCTCAAACGCAGACTACCCGCCATAAAAGATTGCGCAATATTACGCGTTTTTAAGACTTGAAGAAAAAATATTTAATAGAATCTCTCCCTGTTGAAGAAAAACTCAGCGGTGTCACGACGAGTAACAAAATAATTATTTATTTGTCATTGAAAGAGAATAATTTTTTTTGCTTTGCTGATTAAATAAAATGGCTGAGAGCTCAGAGGAAGACAAGAAGAACTGGTACTAAAAACACGTCATTGAATTTCAAATACGCGTGAATTTTGAATTTTAAATAAGCGTGCAATTGAACAGGTATTTTAGGATCACTCAGATTTACTTAAATTAACTGTCAGAATTTTAAATACGTGTGTAATTGATCAAGTGACTCATGTTTTCTTAAATTGACACGCAATAAGTCAATATATGAGTTAATATAAAAACTTATATATGACATAAATCGATATGTGAGTTACATAAAAAGTAATTCAATGGAGAAATGTCGAATTATTTATGATGACTTTACTCTTCTAAAAATCTTTTATTTCACCACTGAAATAAAAATGTACAGTAAAACCGCTGACCATAACATACCTTCAGTTCACCACAGCTGTCAGCACACCACAGCGCTCACCACAACGCGCACTTCACCACTGCTGTCTGCACACCACAGCGCTCATCACAACGCACACTTCACCACAGCTGTCTGCACCACAGCGCTCACCACACGCGCACTTCACCACAGCTGTCTGCACACCACAGCGCTCACCACACGCGCACTTCACCACAGCTGTCTGCACCACAGCGCTCACCACAACGCGTACTTCACCACAGCTGTGTGCACCACAAGATTTAGAAGCCTCGTCTACACTCGCGCTGTTTTCAAGGGTGGGCAAATGAGGCGAATCTTCATAACTGCCAGGCAATTTCCTCCAGCCAGACCAGGCAGTTTCTCTGTCGCTTCTGCATTTTGTGTGGCCAGTTTTGGGGGTAAAAATTATCCTAAGAATACTCGCGGCAAATTGCTATGTGCCTGCCAAACAGCTGCTATTGTTGCTGCTGTTGTTGCTGCTGTCCTGGAGTTAGAAAGTACTTCTTCAGTAGAAGAGAGCTTAAAATTTTCTGGCATTATTTTTTTTTCACTGTAATTGATTTACCGCAGAAGTAAGCATGGACAAAACTGCGTGTACCACAAACGGTGAACACGTAAAAGACTCCATTCACCACGATGACAGACGTGGATGTGACTGCCCTTACCGCTATGACAGACGTGGTTGCGACAGCATTTACCGCTATTATAGACCCGGCTAAGACTATATTTACCACCATTATAGACGCGGATGTGATCGCATTTGCCGCTGTCCGGTCAGGCTGTATTTACCGCAGCAAAAAAGCTTGGAATTCATTGGCGCACTAACGTTATATATTAATAAATTATGAACGGGTCCATTATTCTTCTATGAAAAACTATGAAAACTATGAAATTATTCTTCTAAAAAACTTTATTCTAATATACTTAAATTATTTTCATATATAGGAGCAAATAAATTACAACTTTATTTGAGAAATCTGTTATGGTCAGGGCATCGTAATTGGCCGATACAAGAATCGACTAAAGTTTTTTATGTCACATCATTTCAAATTTAAGCCCCGATCAGAGCTGATCGTTAGGAAACAGTAAAACTTATCTTTATTCTCAAGCACAACATTTTTTAGTTTAATGACAATTTTTTTATTTTAACGTAACCATTTTTATATTTGAGAGCATTTACCGCTAAGCACTTGAATGCCTCCGTAGCTGATCATTATAAAGCTTCAAGTTGGTCGTCGAGAGAATTTGTTGAGAGGCTGAAGTGTCTTGTGAAATTGCAGCTTAAAATCTAAACAAATTTCAAAAACGTTCGCAGACAGAATTTCGGCTCCATTTTTTCGATAATTTATATTCCAAAATTGATGGCTTCAAATGAACGAAGAGAGCGGGACCTGTACATTCACGGAACATATTAAAATTTTTTTCGAGAGTTATGTGCGCCAGCCACGTTATAAGCAGTATATTCAATATTGAATCAATACAAAATAAGATTCTTTTGTAAAATGAAAATAATGTTCTCACCGAAGCCCCTCAATTTTTGTTACATCAAAAGATGGCGTGCAAAACAGGAAATAGCAAGTCATGCTCTCTTCAAATTTCAATCCACCTCGCTTTTTTATCTAATGATTAATTATTGACATATTGCCGATACCAAAAAATTTGCATACATTTTAAAATATTGTTTATCATGAACAGTTCATCATTATATCGTTTTTACTAAAATAATTTTATTATAAAGTTTGAGCTGATACACACTTATATTATTACCAACTGCTTTCATAGTCTATTATCTTCCGTCCTACAATCCCCACTCTTTCGTTCATCAACAGACGTCCGGTCAACATTTAAAATAATCAAGTCGCAGCTGCATTGAAAGGACGATAATTAAACCAGGAATTCGGGGAAAAACAGAAACCCCAACGAAGTGAGTGGCTTTATAAA